CACGCAGACATGGATATACCTTTTTCTGGACATCAAGACGGCTTCCCCGGCCTCAAGCTTCTACAGTGGGGCAAGAGAAAAACATGAGAGGCTGGAGAGAGAGAGAGAGAGAGAGAGGGAGAGGGAGTACCTTCTGAGGCTCGACTTTTTTATCACAGGGGGGAACTGTTCCAGGGAACATTCTATCCAAAAAAGGGCAAAAGGGTAGGATTACAACAAACAGGTGGGTGTAATTCAACCCCTCCAGTGACGCCCACTCCCAGAGCTGCACCTTTCTGATCCCATTGGAGGTCAAGTCCACTTGCATTGCAGGGTGCAATACCAGTCCAGGACCTCTTCAGTCAGGACTTAAAGATGTGGGCATAGCTCCTTTTCAGGACAGTCCCCGACATTAGCTTTTGTTGCTTCTACCCTGCCCTGCTTTTTTGCCTGAGTCCTTCCTACTCTGATTGGGTCTCCATGTTAAAGCACAGCCAGGGCGCCACTCAAGGTGCATCCATCCCCCAGGGACTCCAGTCTCTCTTTCCCACCAAACCTTTCAGTGTAGTCACCAAGTTGCTCTCTGGCTGGCCTGGTCAGGGTCCCTGCCCAAGTGCCTCGCCAGCTTTCCCGCCTTTGCTTTCCACTTTCTCTGGCTGCTCAGCCTGTAATGCCTTCCTCATCTCCATCTCTGGCAAATGCAACCCACCCTTCAAGACCCTTCAAGGGATCTTTCCAGAGGGATGCAGCCTCTTTCTCTTCCTCTCTTTGGTGGTGCTGGTTTCCTGTCTTTCAAATGTTCTGCCCCATGGCTGGTCTCTCTGTCCTTGCCTCTCCCCTTCGGCTCCTCTTTCCTCCTACCCCATTCTGAGTTGCCAGCTCCTTACAGCAGTGACCCTGACTTGCCTTTGTGTCCTCTTCAGTGTCCTACACGAAGTAGATGCTGAAGAAAAGTCAGCTGGTGTCATGGTTTAGATGTGAGGTATCTCCCAAAGTTCCTGTGGGAGACAATGCAAGAAAGCTTAGAGGTGAAATGATTGGGTTGTGAGTCTTAACGGAATCAGTGTGTTAATTCACTGTTAGGGATTAACTGAATGGTAACTGAGCAGGCAGGGTGTGGCTGGAGGAGGTGGGTCCCTGGGGGTGTGCCTTTGGGGTATATATTTTGTCCTTGTTGAGCAAAGGCCTCTCTTTCTCTCTCTCCCTCCTTCCTGCTGCCATGTTCCCAGCTCTTTTTTCTGCTGCACACTCTTCTGCCATGATGTTCTGCCTCACCTCCGGCCCTGAGGAATGGAGTCAGCCATCTATGGACTGAGACCTCTGAAATCATGAGTCCACAAATAAACTTTTCCTCCTGTAATGGTTTTTGTCAGGTCTTTTGATCACAGTAGCAAAAAAGCTGACTAAAACACATGGTTTGTGGAGAAATGATCTTCCCTTCAGATGGGGGTGAGGTGATGCTTTTTCTCTCAGTTCCTCTCTCTGATTTCCAGCAACAAGAATACCTTGGTCAGTTTACTTCTTGGTAGCATAGGTTCCTTGTTTTCCTTGGTTTTCTGCAGAGGCCTGGGCACCTGAGAGTCTCTGAATTGCCTTGTTATTGTTCCTGGCTTCACCTCTGTGCCATGGTCCTGCAGACTGGATTACCCTTGTCTGGTTTAGGGACACTGGTCATCCACTTGTGGATCCCAATAGTTTTCTTAGAGGCCACCAGGAGAGGCTTAGGCCTTTCTCAAGGCTCCTGCCAGCTTGGGCACCAGGCCATCTCAGAGCCAGTGTGGTGGGCTTTCCTGCTATGCTCCTGCAGGAACACTGGTGCATCACTAGCGTGAAGGGCTCAGCTACATCATGAGACCTTTAAAAGAGCCCTATGGGGGCTGTGGTTGTGACGCAGAGGTAGAGCACTTGCCTAGCATGCGGGAGGCACTGGGTTCTATCCTCAGCACCATATCAAAATAAAATGAAGAGATATTGTGTGCACCTAAAACTAAAATAAATAAATATTTTTTTTTAAATAATGCTTTTCTTTTCTTTTATTTTTCGGTGGACACAACATCTTTATTTTATTTTTATGTGGTGCTGAGGATCGAACCCAGAGCCCTGCGCATGCCAGGCGAGCGCGTTAACGCTTGAGCCACATCCCCAGCCCAGTGTGTGTGTGTGTGTATGTATATATATATATATATATATATATATATATATATATAATTTTTTTTAAAGAGCCCTATGATAAAGACAACCTAGCAAGACCCTTCAGGATAATAATGTAGGGGGAAAGAAAGACAAAGAGAAACCTTCACGTAATCTCAGCTGTCTTTTCTGTGGCGCTGGGGATTGAACCCCGGGCTTTGTGTTCGCTAGTCAAACGCTAATACTATTACACCCCCCAGTACCCTAGAACTATTTTCATATTTGCATGTTTCTTTCTAGCCTTTGTCCCTGTGCAGAGACTATTTTTACATAGTTCAAGTAATAGTCTAATAATTGGCCTTTTTCATTAATTATGAAATCTCAATCACTTGCTCATAAATCAACAGCTTTCATAATAATCCTTGCAACAGCTACGTGATATTGCACATGCAATCATTTATCCTTTTTGCTAGATATTTTTAATTTCTTTTAATTTTTTCATTATAGGTGATGCATGCAATTTTTTAACAGTTTTAAATCATTTCATTTAATATGCTAATTACCCTCCTTTGACGATGCATATAGTTTTGATCTTATGTTTAATTATTTCCTTGGAATAAATCTTCAAGAATGGGATTGTAAAGTCAAATGATGAACATTTTTATGACTCTTGATTCTTATCCTCATATTGATTTCTGGAAAGTTTGTATTATTGGTTTATAGATAAGATTTCGGTGCTGCCATAGTCCATTTTATGGCTCATGTCTACTCATAGTCAACAAATATTTGATTGCTTATGTGGGAGGCACTTTCATATTTATTTATACATTAAAGTCTCTTTCTAGAACCTTAGACTTTCAAAGTTGGAAGACATCTGCTTGTTTTACAAATAAAATGAGACCCAGAGAAATTAAGGGCATAATTCATGATGCCTAGTTTGAAAACAACAGTATATATATAGTAAATGTAAATCTTTGTACCTCAAGTTCTATCATGCCCAGCTGGTGCAGTCTGGGTGTATTTATTTTCTGCTAAATGCACAGCTGAGAAAGGACAGCTCATGCTTGTCCTCGGTCAGCACCATCCTGACATATGTTTGGACAGTAGAAGTGGAAAAATCTTTGGACCTTTATGATCCCCACAGCTACACCAAGACCTCTGTTAAATAAAGAAAGGCTCAAAGTGCAGAGACTTTCTAAACATGCTACTTTCTAAAAGGAGACTTCTTCACTCCTTGGAGTAGTTCCTACAGACTGTGGCATAAGATGCACAAAGTGGCTCCTAATGCCCTGTCCTTTCCCTGGGCCTGTGTTCGCTCTCCACCTTCTCTTGCAATGCTAGGGACACCCTTTCCCTCTCTGATCTTTAAGTTCCAGCTCCTGAGAGAAGGTTTTTTTCAGTCTTCCTGTGTGTTGGTTATCTATTGCTGCCTAACAAATCCATCCCCAAACTTTTTATACAATCTTACAATGATTTAGCCTTTCCTATGATTCTGTGAATTGGCCAGGTAGTTCCTTTGCTGGTTTAGCCTCCTAATAGTCATTCAGTGCAGGATAAACTGGGCTGATGACTTAAGATATTGACTGAGCATCACCCAAATCCTATTTTCTATAAATCAATACAAATTTTCCAGAAATCACATGGGGATATGAAGCAAGAGTTATAAAAAAATGTTCATCCTTTGACTTTACAATCCCATTCTTATATGTTCCTGCAGGAGGGTCCTGTGAGCTCCTGGAGACGGACTTTTCAGTCCACTGCTTTCTTTGGCCCTTGGCATTGCCCTGTGGCCTTTTGGTTCCACCTTCTGAGAGATATCTTGTTTCTGAAAAGAATTGTCCTGTGTCTGCAGCAAGTAGCATTCTCAACATGCTTTCTTCCCTTAGAAAATTTGGATCTCAGAAACCTCTTTTCAGTTTGAACCATCCTGTTCCAAAACTCCCCAAAAACTTTGTTGTGTTTTTATGTTTTAGAAAATAGTCCTATAGCCTCAAACTTAACTTTGTCTTTACTCTGACGCTATGTCTTTGAGATGTTTGGGCTGGGGACCCTGGACATACGAAACATTTTATTTTGCAACCCAGCACATCCCTGGCCCTCCACGTTTCTTCTAAATCCTGTTTACAAGCTGAACAGTTCCTCTTTCCCTTCCTTTACAGTTAAAGCTGCTAAAAAGACAATTTATACTTTTAACATTCTGCCTGGAAATTTCCTTGGCTGGATTCATAAGCTCCTTAGGTGTTTTCTGTCTTCCAAGTTACTTCAGGTGACAGTTTTGCAGCACTACTTTCACTATGCTTGTTCTCACTGCTCATCGTCTCACTGCTGTGACACACGTCACCAGCTTTCCAACCTTCAGCAGCAGTTTCCTTCTAATTCTCCATCCTGCATCCTGCATGCACAACCTCCTTGCCTTCCCAGCCTCCCCTTGCCACACAGTCTAGAGCCAATAAGTACCACAGGCTTTGTTTTGTGGCAGTTCTGCCTTCTCCCAGGTTCCAATTTCTGTATGTAATCTACACTGCATAACAAATTACCCCAAAACATTTAGTTTTGATATCAACTTACTACTTCTGTCAATTCTTTGGATCAACTGGGAAGCTCCTCTGCTGGTGTCACCAGGACCCACTCACATAGCTACACTTAGCTACACATAGCCACCCTTATCCATGGGTGATATGTGGTAAGTGCCCAAAACAGCAGAGAACAGTGAATTGTATATATGGTGTTTTTTCTTATACATACCTATGATTAAGTTTAACTTATAAACTAGGCACAATAAGAGATTAATAATAGCTAATAATAAATTAGAACAATATACTGTAATACAAGTTATGTGAATGTGGTCTCTCACTCAACTACCACAAGTAATGTGAACAGCTGGACCGAGGGATTCTTTATTATCTGTATCCTGCTGGGATACAGAGGGATGGTGGGAGATTCATCATGCTACTCAGAATGACAATTTAAAACTCAGGAGTTATTTGTTTCTGAAATTTGCCATTATTATTTTTGGGTCTCAGTTGATGGTGGGCAAATGCAACCTTGGAAAACAGAACCATGGACAAGGGGAGGCCTCTGTGTAAGGTCAATTGGACTGGTACACCCAGATGGCCTCACCCACATGCCTGGCAGGGGATGCCCACTCACTTTTTCTCCACAAGGCCTCTCATCCTCCCTTGGGCTAGACTGGCTTCCTTATACAGTGCTCACAGGACAATGGTTTTGCTTGTGTCATATGTGCTGTTGCTTCAAGTGATGTGGCCAAGGCAGAGTCAACGTGGGAGGGGAATATGTAAGAGTATGTGTACCAAGAGGCGTGGTTCACTGGGGACCAGTACTGTTACAGCCTACCACCCTGCCTCTGGATGGAACGAGTCATCTTCTGGGCTCCCTTAGCCCTTAAATCTTGATTTCAATGTCCTTTATGTAATCTCTTGAAAATCATCTGTTTTGTATAACCCACTTGCTATTTTTAACCTTCTTAAAGCAGAAATTGCCCTACGTATTTTCTCACCTTCCATTTCATAGCCTTGCACATAGGAGGTGCCCGTTAAATATTACCTGCCAGTGAGACAGTCCTACTAACAGTGCAGGGAATTATAGTTCATGCATATTTTGCAGTCTTCCTTGGTGTTTCTCACCAACCATCCAAAATGCGGCAAGGTTGAGTTTCCTCAGGTTTATGACCTTTCTAGGTTTCTGAAAAGTCATGAAAGAATGTTGGCTGGTAAAAATGTGCCATAGGGTGTTTGTTTATGTAGGGGAAAAAAATCTTATTCATCATACTCAGACTTAACAACTGCACCACAGCCAGGGACAGATCTTCTGGGGTCCCAGTGGGACCCCTGCCCACCTCTCATCACCCATTGCCAAGATCATGTATATTCTTGTGTTCTCACCATGAGTCCTGGGTTTGAGAAACTTGAAATCTAGGCGAGGAAACACAGCAGGCAAAAGTGTAACAGCCCAAGCTGTTTATCCCGTAATGTGCCAACTAATGCAAAAATAGCCTTAATGGGGCCTAAAGGTGAAGGGGACACCACCAGGTCGTGATCAGAGAAGAGTGAGGGTCACACTAAACAATCAACCTTCTCACAGATGGTGAAGTCTCAGTCAGATCTTGGGGCAGGTTATGGATAAGTATTTATCCTTGGAGACAGGAGAGGATGATCTAGATGGAAATGGGGGGTTGAAGCCAAATAGATTAGCAGGAAAGTAACCCTTGATGTGTGGAGGAGCCAGCAGATGGTGGGGGTAAAAAATAATGGGATGAGTGACCTGGGGAAATAAGCAAAGTGAGGGATCTGTCTGAGAAGCCTCAGCAAACCAAGCTGTCCCCAGAAGGTCATCTGAGTACCTGAAAGTGTCTCCCTATATGAAGTTTCTGGAGCTTTCTGTACCCTACAGTGAAGTGATTTTTTATATAAGCATCTGAAAAAGTAATGTGGGGTGGGGTGGGATTTGCTGTGTAGCAGGGTCAGCACGTGAGCATGTGGGAGCACTGGGGCTCCGGTTTCCCAGGTACTGCACTAGCTGCAGCGGCCCCTCCATTCCCAGCTGGGTATCTGGATAATAACCAGGTGGCTTTTTGTACTCTGTGTTCCTGTGTCCTGGAAAAAAGATGGAAGCATCTCATTAGAGGAAGAGGAGGGACATTTCTAGGCAAACAGTTGTCCTAACCCATATAGAAAGCATCTTTTTTAAAAAATATTTTTTAGTTATACATGGACAATGTTGGGAAAAGTATAAACGGCAGCCGTACCCCAGAGAAAAACCCCAACATGGCGCCTCAGGACCTCTTCTTTCTACCTTCCTCTTTTTTGCAGTGGCGCGAAAAGTTCCCTGCCCGTGTGAACTCTCCCGCTGGTGCCAATTTCAAATCTCGCTGGCGGGGAACCTTAGCCCCAATGAGAACTAATTCCTGGGCTCCGGAGCTGATATCTGGAAGAACTTGCCAATAAACAGGTGGCCTGCCATTTATCTAAGCCCTACCATCTCCCCTTAGTTCTATATAAGCACACAGCCTTTTGCAATAAAATTGGAATTCTCCCAGAGAAGTGTCTTTGCGTGGGGAATTCTTTCAGACACAATATCTTTATTTTGTTTATTTATTTTTACATGGTGCTGAGGATTTGAACCCAGTGCCTCACATGTGAAAGGCAAGCTCTCTGCCACTGAGCCACAACCCCAGCCTAGGAAGCATCTGTAATGTGATGTGAAGTGAACCAGAGAGGCCCCTGAGCAGGCCAGGGGGAAATACCCTTTTCCCTAGGCTCTGGCCTCAAGGGAACTTTGACTGAAGACAGTGAAGAATGAGTTTGCAGGGTAGGTAGGGGTGGGCTGTGTGCAGACTGAGCTCTGAAATGCTAAGGCAGGCGGACACAGAGCACAGGAGATTGGCCTGCTGCAGTCCAGGACCAACATGGAGAAGCAAAGAAGGCGAAACAAGGAGAAGGCACAGCTCAGCAGAAGTTGCTAGAGAGTACCTCCTTGTCCTGGGCCTGGAAGATAGCATCTAAGGCTGTCAGCTGTCCAGTAACATTCTGGAGGCTTCCAAGCTCCCCTTTCTCCCACATCCCCTACCTAGGGGCAGCCTGGACCCTATTTAAGCACCTGCTCTAGTTACCTGGCAGAACTGGATTCTTAACTTCCACTCAGCCTGTTTTCCATTGCCCTTCGCACTCTTCCTACAGCCAGAAACTCCTGGAATAATTAACTTCAACAAATGGAGGTGCTCAGGGTTCTCCACTCCCTTTGCACCTTATATCACTTTAAAAAATTCAGTTCATCTAAGGCAGGGCCCAGCTGTAGATAGTTTTTCAAAACCATATCTTGTATGCAGCCAGATTGAGAACAGCTGGAATCAGTCATCAGTACTGGGGGATGCTCTACCACTGAGATCCATCCCCATTCCTTTTTATTTTTTATTTTGAGACAGGGTCTTGCTAAATTACCTAGGCTGGTCTGGATCTTGGGATTGTAGGCATGCGCCATGGAGCCTGGTCTGAGCCAGTTTAGAAAGTTACATTAACAGAATTTGTTGACCTTTTCAGGTGCCTAACAATACCCCATAAATACATCTGGGAAAACAGCGAAACCTGTGGACACCCTTTCTTGAGAAGTCAAGAGAGGCCTCTGGGTTGCCTACTTGGGGTAATTCTCAAGGATCTTCCAGGTGATAGCCACTGGCCTCAGGAGATCTACACTGTGCATCCAGTGGAATGGCAGGTTCAGCTGTGATTGTAGCTCACAGGCAACACCAAGGATGAGTCTTCCTTCTAGTCCAGACCAACCTATGCTTGATCCCGTGGGCAATTTTGTTGAAGAATCACCACTGTTCACGAGATAAGTCTTGGAAAATTTTATCCATAAAGCCTCTGTATGCAATTTGTCCCAGACTCAGAACCCACAGGAGATCACAGAGAGTCAGGAGCCATGCCTCTCTTCCTGGCCATCCCCACCCCACCCAGAAGCCCCCAGTCTGTTTTCCTTCCATCTTTGTCCCATGTTTGGATGAGACTGAGAACCAATGATTCAGCCTCTGGTGTTAAAGATTTCCAAATTGTTATCTGCCATGCAAAACAGCAGCTCCTATTTTTGTCTTCCAGATCTGTCTCTTTCAGCCACCCACAGCCACGCCTTACTGCTGGCATGGCAAGATGTGTGACACTCTGTTCTGATAGGCCTACCTCGGGCACATCCTGTCTAAACTCTCATTCTCCTGAGGGTTGGAGTTTGGTCTTTGCTTGCCCTCTTGTCAAGGACCCTCTTTCTGGTTTTCATTTTAATTACTTGCTATTGGACTCTTTCCAGTCCTGTTGTGACATCTGTAAGAGACAGAGAAGAGAAGGGTACATATTATGGTGTCAGTTTCCTATCATTTGATACAAGGATGGGATTGTGATGTTTTGTTTCCTGTATTCTTTTTTTTTTTTTAAAGAATATTTATTTATTTATTTTTAGTTGTAGCTGGACACAATTCCTTTATTTTATTTATATTTATGTGGTGCTGAGGATGGAACCCAAGGCCTCCCATGTGCTAGGCAAGTGCTTACCGCTGAACCACAACCCCAGCCCTTTGTTTCCTGTATTCTTATTTGAATGCTATTGGGGTTAGGGAGGAGGAGGCTGGAAGTCAGGCAGGCTGGAACAAGGATTTCTGACTTCAAGGAATGATTTTCAGGTTCATTAAATGATTTTCCCCAAGCTGCTATTACCTTCCTCTTGCCCACGTTGATGCTCCGCTGACAGATGTCTGCCTCCCACGTAGCCCTGAAACATGCTTCAGTAGCTTCTTTCCTACTGCTCTCAGCTCACTTCCTGCCCAAACCTGGAGTCATACATGACCTTAGAGATTCCTCTGTGCACCTCCTCCTCTAGCTCATTTATAACTTTACAACTTTGATAATTAAGACTTAAATTGTTCAGGCTGCAGAATGAAAATCAAAAAAGATCTTGCAATTTTAATAATTTTCTTCACTGCTTTCAAAAAAGTTCATGACTATTTAAGAAACTATAAACAAAGAAAATTAACTCAATCCTTTAGCCCAGAAATAACCTCTACTAATATGTAGGTTTACATTTGTCCAGTATTTTGTTCAGAGAGCACAACACATGCGCATGTAGGTATGATCTCCAAGAAGCAAATTATTGCAAATAATGGTGATCACGGGCACAATTTACCTTTTATATCTACCACTTCCTCCCATGGGGCTAACTATTTTCTTGAAGTTTGGGTTTACAAATTATTTGGTTTACTTGATGTTGAGCTTTATAAAAATGGTATTATAGTAGAACTAGTCATATGTCTCTTGCTTTTTTCACTTAAAAAAAAAGGATTCAGCTAATCCATGTTGCTTTAGGAAAATGTGCTTCTTTCACTTTCATGGCGGCTTAACATTTCTACTGTGGGCATACGTACAGCCATTCATTCTTTTCTTGCTGGACACTAGGAATTTTTCTTACTACTTCACCACTACAGATACTAAAGACAGAGTAGGGGTTATATATCCCTCTTTGGCACAGATGTCAGTAGTGTCTTTTGGATGGAATTATTAGATATAAAGTACACAGAATTTAAAATGTGTGAAGTGTAACCAAATGGTTGCACAGATTCATGCTCCCAGCCAGCATTGCTGAGTTCCCGATTTACCTCCTTTCCAACACTGAACCCAGGGGTGCTTCACCACTGAGCTACACACCCAGTCCTTTTGATTTTTAAATTTTCAGACAATGTCTTGCTAAGTTGCCCAGGCTGGCTTCAAACTTAAGATCCTCCTGCCTTAGCTTTCTGAGTAGCTTGGATTAAAAGTTTGTGACACCACGTATGATTTTAATGGCTGTGAACTCTTGTATCTCATGGAAGTCTTATAATTTAATTAAAGCCCCCCCCCCATTTTGATTTTAGGAGTAATATTGGTAAGATAATTCTAATGCATAAATTTAATTATAAATCACTGAATATTTTCATAAAATAAATTCTAAGAATTGGAATTTCTGAGTCAAAGTGAAGCCAGATTTAAAGAGAGATAGTTAGTGTAGTTAGGTAAATGGGGCCTAATATCGAGTAAGATAAAGAAAATGAAGACCATTATTGAGAATGGAGTCCAGGAACCCATCCTAAGGAACTGTTAATGAAGCAGCTCCCAGCAAGCAGGGAGGTGCTAATCAAATCACCCCAGGCCCTTCCTGCCCAGATTACTCCTTCAGCCCACCTATCTCCCACCTTTTGGCCTTCCCACCTGCATTCGATCACTGCGATATAAAGGGAAACAAAGGACAGGAATGTGGGAGGACTAAAAGAAGCCCTTAGCTATGAAAAAGAGAAGACCTCCCCCTTCCACGGATTCCACCTTTTGGGTCCCCTTCTTCCTCTGGGGAGAAGTCTTTTCTGCTGTCCTTTAATAAAGCTTCCACTTTCCACTCTACACATGCCTCGGAGCATTCAGGGACACAAGGACTGGTCACTGGTAAATATCGGTAACAAAAGGATCTCGAAATTCTTAAAGATTTTTATATGTATTTCCAAATCACCCCACAGAAAGATTGTCTAATTTACATTTCCTCAAAAAACTCTTTAACACCGGATACTAAATTTCAAACACTTTGCTAATTTAACTTTCTTGTCAAATTCACTTGAAAAGATGCTCAGTTTCATTAGCATTCAGGGAAATGCAAATTAAAAAACTAAAACTATAATGTTTCACACCCACTAGAATGGCAAGGGTGGTTGTTGTGGTTGTTTTGTTTTTGCTTTTTCCCTGTTGTGGTGCTGGGGATTGGACCCAGGGCCTTGGGCGTGCTAGGCAAGTGCTCTACCACTGAGTCACATCCCTAGCCCAGCAATTAAGATAACCAGTATTTTAAAATGTTTATTGTCCATTGTGTTTCTTCTTTTCTGGGATTGATTTTTTTTCCCCCCGTAGTTTATTATCTGCATTAGACTGTGGTATATCAAAATATTGTATTCAAAATGACTTGATTGGTTTCACTTCTTTCTTCCCTCTTCATTGCAGTAATGTCACTTATTAACATACCATTGGATTCATTTGTTTCTATTTGCATTGTTACAGGTTTTCAATTTTTCCTTTGTTGATTGATTTAATTTTATTTCTGAATGTATGTAACATTGATGTGCTTTGTAAGTAGGTTACCTACACCAAAAGATAACCTCAGAATTTTCTCTTCCTCCTCATCCTTCCTATCTTGTCCTTTCACCAAATTCCTTGTAGATAACCAATTTTTACTGTATTCTGGTTTACTGGCTCTTGTATTTCTTTTTACTAAAATAAGCAAGTCCATTACATTTTCTAATTTCTTGTCTTTATCACACAAAAAAATGTTTCTGTACTTTGCTTTTATAGCTTAGGTTCTCATTTTCAATATATATTACTAGCAGTTAATGAAGGTCTTCTTCTTTTAAATGCTTCCTTGTGTTACATTGTGTATATCATAGTTTATTGAATAAATCTTCCATATTTGGGCATTTAGGTAGTTTCTAATATTTTGCAAATCCAAATAATGGGATAAGGAAGACGCCTGCATATGTAAGAGTGTACATGTGGTTTGGGAGTATTTTTGAGGTGAATTCCTAGAAGCCACAGTGTTGGGATGAAAGGTGAATGTACACAGTGTCTCATTGAGATCCTGCCAAATGCTTCTTCATAAGGATGGCACTATTTCTCATTCTCTTCAGCACTCTATTCCCTCCTATCTCACCAATGGAGTATGAGGTATTGTTGCCCCAACACCATTTATTACAAAGTCCCACTTTGACTCAGTTGTTTTTCACCTACAGGAATTTCACACCCAGAGGGTCTTCTATTTGGTTCCATTGGTCTGCCTATTCATGTGCCAAACTGTGCTATTCTTTTTTTTTTTTTTTAAGAGAGAGAGAGAGAGAGAATTTTTTTTTTTTTAATATTTATTTCTTAGTTTTTGGCGGACAGAACATCTTTGTTTGTATGTGGTGCTGAGGATCGAACCCGGGCCGCACACATGCCAGGCGAGCACGCTATCGCTTGAGCCACATCCCCAGCCCCCAAACTGTGCTATTCTTGAGTGTTAATTTTTTTCCTTTCAGCTTTGGTATCGACTTGTTCAGCTACAGAATTTATAAATTAATGTAAGAAAAATTGTTACCTTAATGATCAGATATTTTAATCAAAACCAAGTATATATTTGTATCTTCCAGGAGTATTTAATAGTTTTCTTCAACTATATATTAAGATAAAAATATATATTGAGATAAATATATATTGAGAAAAAATAAAAATATATATTGAGATATAAATAACATACCATCAGGCATGGTGGCACATGCCTATAATCTTAGTGACTCAGGAGGATGAGGCAGGAGGATCCCAAGTTTGAGGCCAGCCTAGGTAACTAAGCAAGACCCTGCCTCAAAATAAAAAATAAGGGCTAGAATGTAGTTTAATGGTAGAATGCCCCTGGGTTCAATCCCTACTCCTCAAACCCCACAAAAAAAGTTTTAAATTGATAAAGTCCAACTGACCTACTTTTTCTTTTATCATTTGTTTTGGGTGTTGTGCCTAAGAAGACTTTAACAGGCCCAAGGTAATAAATATTTTATACCTATGTTTTATTCTAAGAGTTTTATAGCTTTAGCTTTTATATTTAGGTTGTTGAAGTTCTAATCTCCAGTATCTCAGAATGTGACTGTATTTGGAGATAGGGTCTTTTTTTTTTTTGTATGTGGTGCTGAGGATCGAACCTGGGCCTAACCTGGGCCGAACCTGGGCCTCACGCACTCCAGGCGAGCACGCTACCACTTGAGCCACATCCCCAGCCCGAGATAGGGTCTTTAGAGAGATGATTAAGATAAAATGAAGTTTTTAGAGGTGGACCCTAGTCCCACATGACTGATGAAAGGAAAGTGACCACAACACTCGGAGCAACCAAAAGATCTTTATTGCAGCAGCGCAACAAAGAGAAAGGAAAGAAGGAAAGAGAGAGAGAGAAAAGAGAAGAGATGAACAGGGAGAGAGCAAGAGCAAGAGAGAGACAGAGAGCGTGTGTAAGAAAGATAAAGAGCAAGAGAGAAAGAGCAAGAGAGAGGGGGGCCTGGCAGGAGGGAGTTTTTATAGCCCAAATCTAATGGGGCCTCTGGGTCTGCAAGCTGCCTTGTTGGCCCAAGGGGGGGTTAAGTGTTCAGCCTTAAGCAGGGTTGAATGTTCAGACTTGAGGCAAACAGGTGATAAAGGACCAGATAGAGGGGGGTTTGAGTGCATGGGCTATCTTGCAGTCAACATCTGTTCAGCCTGCCCTGCACCCAACAACTGATGTCCTTATAGGAAGAGGAGAT